TGAGGTTTTGAGCCACCGAACGTCCCCCTTTCACGTAAAAACATTGCTCTAATTTTAATTTCAGGTTAAAACAAAACGGCTATACTTCTTCCTTCATCTTGGACGATCTTTCTCGTCTTTCTCCTATTTTCTTATTTCACTCGAAATTCAAGAAAAATCCGACATTCTGAAATTCGCAGCTAGACACCGCGCATTTTTTATTTGCGTGAAGAAAATGAAAATGAGAGTTTCATTTCTCACGAAACTGTACACTTTAAGCATGAAATGAAAAACTTTTGACTTATCTTGACCAGTAGCTGTTTGCGCTGTAAAAATCATCAGAAAATATGACCAGTAAACGATAGGACGACGCATACACTGAAGTTACAGGAAGCAGCCATAATAAGGTGAAAGCCGAACTGGGACTTACATACATAATAGACGAAAATTGAAAACACTGATTACTCCCAAAGACTAATAATTCACACAACAACTCTCTAACCGCCCACAATCCAGAATGGAGAGTTTGTGACTCCTCTCAGAACCAAAATACAAACACATAACTACAAAAAGGTTCGTTTTCTTTAATATCTCTGAAACAGCACACTACAGCATTTCATGCATCCTCAATCTAAGAATACTGTTAGCTTAAGAATGATCGTCACAGCCAACTTTCATGCTTTGGAGAGGACTGTTATCTCATTTTGTTCAATCTCTGCAATGAGGGGTGACATTTCGCTGTATTCTCCCTTCCCTTTTCCAAGAATTGGTTCGTTGCTTGTTTTCTTTTCAACTTTCACCGTTGAGTGAGTCGTTGGCAGCCATTCATCCCGCATTCGATAGTGAGGCCTCATTTTCTGATTTCTGATGTGGAGAAAATGCCCAAAAACAATAATGGTCGAGAATGAAGTGAGAACCACGAATACTATTCGAATACCACATTTTTCTTCACTTAGCTCCAGCTTCAAACGTGTTATAAGCACACATGTGAATGTGGTTTCATTAAATATAGTGAATGATATTCATCTAATAATGAATGAAGAGGATGAGCAGTTTCTTCTCCAGAGTCTAACTCAGATCGAAAAGATAGGATATCGGAAAGCTCTATCGTCTCAAAGAAGAGTGAGGTTCGCTTTGCACAGATGTTATTTTATAAAGACATTAAAGACCCGGAAATTCCTAGGCTTATTGATCGTGAAAATCTCATCAGCAGTAAACGACCCTGTTGTGATAGTTTATCAGCTCAAGGAAGATAACTCCTCCCATCGACAGCTCACAATATCACTCTCTTCCTGATGGTTGTGAGATATTTTACTTTACTTACCATTTTTTTCTCAATGGCTTTTTCAACTGCTTGCACAGCTATAGCTGTATGATTGATTTCACTATCTATCACAAAGATGAACGCATACTTTCTTAATCAAGATAGTTTCATCTTCGAAATTAAGTAAATAGTTCTGAAGAGCAGCATCAACATTTGTGGTTTCAACTTTAAAATCTCATTAGTTTTACCGAAATTTCATACTTCAATCCTATTTTCAGCACGAAAATGGCAAGTAACTCTCGTAAGCAATCTATTGTCGAGGCGGCTGAACAACATTTTGACAAGAATACCATAATCCTCATCGTTAACCTGCTTATCCTCGCTTGCCTTATGGGTCTTCTCTACATGCTCGCTACTTCTGCCATGTCCGTTGGAGCAAAAGATGAACACTAGGTTAGTACATTAAGTATAAGCTGTTTATATATTTCGAAAGTTTTCTCCAAAATATTTTCTAATACCAAAGTGCACGTAGAATGTTAAATAGTTTTTCCCTGAGGGCTGCTATGAACTGAAAATCATTTTCTGCTCTATCTGATGAAGATTTTGTTCTCTTTTCTTTTTTCCTTCCTCTTGTTGTCCGTTTACTGTGAGTCCCGAATGTTGTCTGCTGATTGTTTAAAACTTCAGTAAAGAAGTGGCAGGTGTGTTTTCGCGGACATTCAACAACCAACTGACTCCAGCCCCTGGGCTGCAACTTGGTCAATTTTATTGAACGTACGGGAAAATTTTGATTTAACGAACCTCGTCCGTTAATAAGAAATGTTTACTTGATTTATTCGATGGGGGGGTATCACAGATAGATTAGCAATACAAGCTTTGTAAGTGGAATGCTTATTTAAACTTATTACAGATTACACAAGGATACTCGCAGCTCTTTTGAAGCAGTGAACTTAACTAGCTTTTTAATTTCTCTCCTATTTTGAATTTGGAAACACCTTCTTTATCACAAACCGCACAGTTGTTAATTCTTTCTTTTCTTGATCTATCACACCAGTAACAGGCAACATGCTCACATGGAGACCAGATTACTGGGATAATAGCCGTCTTTGCGCAAACTCCACAAACTGAGTTATCCTCATTGTGTTTCATGCTAGTTGTCTTCGTATATCTCAACCAATATCTATGTAAAAAAGCTCCGAAAGGCCAAGCGAGTTGTAATCCATCACGAAAAGCATGCCAAAGTAATTCACGGTTTTGCGATTCATAGTTGATTGTTCCTGAAAAATAGAAGTTTAACCTTACATTCTATAATTGCGTTGTAACCCGTGATATCTCATGAAAAATAAAAATTCGAACTCTTACTTATTCATAAAAAAAATTTTTTTTCTAATCTTCAGAAAGCACTCGTGAACACGGACGTTGTAAAAATTTTTTTGGTTATGCAGGAAACCTTACAGCTTCGATTACGACCCTCTCTCTCCGTAAACCTTGTGTCTCTTTTCTCAAAAGCGTTACCGATAGTTGGCAAGTTGTTGTTCCAATTTCTTAAACCCAGAATATACTCCGTCAAGGTACTATGGCCGCCTCTTCTCAAAAATTTTAAGTAGTACACTAAGGAGAAGATCTGAAATTCGAGACGGTTACTGAGTATTCAAGGAAAAGTTAGAACTTCACAAACTGCTTCGGCTTTCCTAAGAAAGGCATCCATTTTCCGATTTTTTGAGAGAGAAGTAGCTCTCCGGGTGAAATATGGGAGCAGAATGGACCAACAGTAATGGATTAAAACTTTGGACTTATTATAATCTTTGTACGAAATATCTTCTTCTAACTGCCCAGGAGAAGCTCCTGAAATATTTTATTGAACAAACATTATAAAACAAAAAACCTTCTGTTAATCGCGTAGACCAGAGACATGAATCAACCATCAATGAGATTTCAGGTTTGATTTTATCCAGCTTTCTCGATATAGTATAGGGAAGCAATTCAATAGATGATTCAACTTGGTCCAGAGCGAGCTGCTTGTACTCTTCATCCAAAATGGAGGAATCAATTTGTGGAATCCGTAAACTCTCACATGCCATTTTCTTCAAGAACATTTTTGCTATGAAGAAACGAAAAACTTGTACAAAAATAACCGAAGGAGATATCCTTGGAACATGACAATGCTTTAAAACAAAATATTTTATTAAATGTACAATATAAATTAATCAAGAAACTTTCTCATAATCCTTATTAACATAGTTGTCATGATTATAAAACGATGCAACAACTTGTCTACCACCGAAAAACCTCCCGTTCATCACAACAAATGCTTTTATAGCTTGGGCTACATTAGTAAATTCAACGAATATTCGAACAGCCTCATCATCAGCCAATTTTTCCATCTTAAACATAGCTTATTGTATACGATTAACAGAAAAATGAATTACTGTATGCACATAAACTGATTGTATTTGTCCATATTTGCTCAACTCTCCTTGTATTTCAACTTCTAAATCTTTGTCTACTTCTGAAGTTGAAACGACATTCTGAAACTTTCAATTTAAAAGAAGATTTTAAATGGATTAAACCTTTAATAATAAAACTTTACTAGCATTACTCATAACTGCGGCATTGTTAGTTGCTCGGGAAGGCAATGTCGGCATAGTAGAAGTACTTTGAGATCCTGAACAAAAAAACTATCAACAAACTATAATATTAGAAGAAAACCTTCGTCTGATTTATTTGATTCGTTAACTATCACACCAGTGGATCTACCAACTTTTTCAATCTGCAGTGCTGTGTTTATTCCTTGCTCATCTTTTCCTGAAGACAAAGTCAACATGCAGTCAATCTTCGAAACCGTTCACTTACCTAATCCAGAACCTTCTTTATACCCGTATTTACTCATAATGTTGGCGGCAACTCCTAACCCTCTTGAGGTTCCTTTACCAAAAGGTGCCAAAATAGTTGCTGGATTCGTGAATGAATGAGGAGGCTAATAGATCAATTACTATACAAACTAGTTTAACAGAACAAACCGAAGAAGATTCGACAGAAGAAGTTTCCAACAAGGCTGTTGGAGGAGCAATAGCTGCTCCTTTTTCTCTTTTTTTGGCTTCTTCTTTGTGTTCTTTGGCTAGCCTATTGGAACAAAATGTCAGGAAAACATGAAAAAACGACAAACCTCTCAGCTATTTCTTTCGCTACCCGTTCTTTCTGTTCTCGTTCCTCTTTCTTTTTTTTCTGAGTTAAATAATCGTTAGGGAGGTCCGGTTGATACTCATTTTTCACAACTACTTCACCGAACAACAATACCTGAAATCAAAACAAAATGTAACAGCATGTGTGAAGTTCCCAAACACTATCATCTAACGCTGATTTCGGTAAGAACGAAAGAGGGGTAGCGTCTGAAATGGGAACAGCTTTGATGGGCTGAAGCCGCTTCAGATTCATATTAGTTTTATTCCTAGCAGAGAGATCAATAACAGGATTAACAAAGTGTTTCTGCAAGAGTACTGATTTCGTTAAAATAAACTGTAAAGGGCCTTACAGAGGAGGACGGAGCCGGTGCTGGCCTTTTATGAGCCATTTGCGCTTGAAGGAACTTCATAGTAATATCCTTTGTACCGTCTACGAAATGGTTAGCATTATTAAATCTATCTTCGAACAATGAAACCATTTTTCTTCTCTTCCTTCTCTTTTTCTTTTTCTTTTTCCTTCTCCTTTTCCTTCTCTTTTTCTTTTTCTTTCTCTATTTCAGGTCTTCGCACAGGAGTGAATGGCACATCGTCTTCATCGTCATATAAAGAAATCATTTGGCTACCTATGACATGTATTATAAAATATGTAAATCAAGTCTTTGATACCAATAATCTAACGTTCTGTTACAAATATACTAACTGCGAAGGGGTAATAATTAACATAGAAAAACTAACCTTGCCATAAACCCTCTTAATAACGTGACGCCGAAATGCGACTGAGACAAGGTTTTCGACCTCACGACGGAATTATATCTTACAACTATGTCGAGCTCTTCCTCTAAGAAAAGTGTTTTGTTTGTTTGTTTAGGTGTGTTTCTGAGAGATTTAATTCCTAATCAGAGATTTCCAGGAAATATCTGTCGATCTCCGATTGCTGAGGCTGTCTTCCTGAATCTGATCGAACAACAGAATAAATCTGAAGAGTAAGCTTATCTTAGAAATAGTTGTAAGAACCTCATGCTACAGCTGGGATGTCGACAGTGCTGCCATCATCGGCTATCATACGGGGAAGAATCCGGAGAGAAGAGCCTTAGCTACTTTGAAGAAGTTTGGAGTTAATAACTACGCTCACAAAGCTCGTGTGGTAGCGTTCCCGCTGAATTCATATTGATTTATACTCTTATTTTAGGTGAGAAAGGAAGACTTTATCAACTTTGATTACATATTTGGCATGGATGATAACAACATACGGTTAGGTTATCATTTTCTATTAGTTCTAAATACTGTTTAGGGATTTGGAAGAAGTTCAAGAGGCCGCTGGTGCTAAAGCTAAAGCAAAGCTTGCTCTTTTAGGAGAGTACGACCCTCAGAATGTGAAGATTGTGCCTGATCCTTATTACGAAGATGGATCAGCCATGTTTGAACAGGTTTAATCAATCTTCAATCGACATATGAAATTTCTGTTTAAGGTTTACCACCAATGCTTACGCTGTTGCGAGACTTTTTTGAAGCAATTTTAACAAAGCTTACATGAAGTTCAAATGTATTTTATAATTTTAAAAAGGTTATAGCCTTTACATCCCTCCTCTTATTCATGTGTTACGCTGTTTTACAGTGCTTCAGAATAAAATGAGTACTGCAAGTTCTTTTGTTATGTATTTAATACTTCGAAGAGACCTCACTACAACCCTTAATTGGCCTCTCGGAGCTGTATGTACTCAAGCAGCTCATGCTGCAAGTGCAGCGATGTGGCTTTTCAAGTAAGTTATCGAAATGACCAGCTTATGATCATTACAATCTTAAGAGATGACCCTAATACAACTATATACACGAGTGAATTAGACTCTATGCATAAAGTAACATTGGGTGTGAGTTTTATCCGACACTTCTCCTCTAGTATCTGAAATTGCAGGTTGATTCGGAGAAAGAATTATTAGATGTTCATGAAAAATTGAAATCGAAAAACATTGATCATAAGGTTTTAAGATTCACAACGTTCAGATTGTTAATATTGGAAATTTTAAGGTTTGGATCGAAGATGATCAATCTGTGTGTATAGCTCTGAAACCTTATTCTAAAAATGATGTGAAGAATGCATTACGAGGATTGAAACTATTCTGATTGAAATTTATGTGATTTCTGATTTCAATAAATGTCTGTTCCCAATCGATTGTTATGTGATGAGAGTGATGAATGAACTGCTGCTTTCTAAGATCAGGTGGTTATGCCTCCAGCTTATTACATGTCCACTCGACATATTATTATAATTTTTATTTTCATCAGTTTATATTTCGAAAATTTTTGTGATTCATGTGAAGTTAATTTATCTGCATTAGATCTAGCTCCTCATCAGGTACTGTGACCCAAATTTTTCCGTACCTCAAAGTTTTGTTCCAGTATAATGGATCTTGGTTTGTGGTTGCGCGCAAACCACCTAAGTCACATAGTTTCGTTCCTCAAAACATAACGTCTTCACTGATAAAGCTTGATGTTGATGGAGATATCATACACATGACAGAGTATCACACCATGTTAGTTTCTTTCAGATCATTGTGACTATCTCGCTAGAACAAGTTACCTTGCATTAGTGAGAAACTCATTTTATCGTTGTAGAAAATGCTGAGCGGTTGTATTAAACTCTTATTTTAGAAACACGACATGCAAGCCGCCATTGATTGGAACTTGGACGAAGCAAAACAAGGGTTACGATATGACTGTAACAGAAGAAGATGGAAAGATATTCAACAGTATGATATTCACATTAATTGTATATCGTGAGTTTTTCAGTGTCTTTGTTTCCCATTTTTCATGGATACAGCGGAGAACAGAACGAGGAAATGAATATGGTACTGTATGGATGTTCCAAGCGTGATAAAGATAAAAGTAAGTGTAGATTTCCGTAAAAGCAAGTTTGACAAGAAAGAAGCAACTGTCTTTAGAATGTGAACGCGGAGAGGAATTGGTTATGGTTATGTCCAACTCCAGACATCCTCAAACATTACAAGCGAGTCATCTGATTCAGAGTTTCCACGCCTTACTTATCCCTCTTTTCAGTTATTTAAGTCAGCAAAGTTAATTGAAGACTCCGCTTGTATAGATATTCTTGAATTCCGTATTCTTGAGACATATTGTATGTGAATAAGTTCTGTTTCTGTTAACGGATGAGTAATCAATAGATTTAGCGGCTTGCGGTGATGAGGTGGTTGATGAAGATCAGAAGCTGGTTCACGCTAGAATTGATGAAAATAATGAATTTGTAGATGTCGAGTGCAAAGTCGGCAACTTCAGACCACCACCGAACAATATATCGAAGTTCTTTGTAATCCTTTATTTTATTTCACGTCATAACCCTACTGGTATAGGATGAACCACGCATTCTTACTGTTGTGGCTTATATCGATCCGATTCTGAGTTTAGAACAGATCGCCCATATTTCTTGTATGTATATTTCAAAGCAACATGCAACTTGCGAATGGATAAGGTTTGGAATGGAGCTTTGAACTCTCTTTGAACTCATCTGTTTGAGGCAAAACAGATGTTTACGGACAGAGCTTTACCAAAATTTAGAAACCAAAGGATATGTGGCTATATCTTCGAACTACACAACTATAGCAGGAAACACGAGTGAGATCGATTGTAAGTTAGGTACCAATAGCCTTTCCTTCCAAGTTTGAAGGGTCTGGATCGGTCATTTGGGAAAACGGGGATGAATACATTTCGATTCAATGCATGAAAGTAGATGAAGACGGCGCTTGCGACTCCAATAGGTTTTTTTCGATTCGGGAACTGTGTTGATACGGTGTTTTCAGAGTTTATGTTTGGTCCGATGAAGATCATATGGATCAGCCTACAATAAACGAAATATATCGGCAGCTTCAAGCTTATTGTATCGACCCAACAGATCTCGTTTTCTTAAATACTTTTCGTTGGTGACACCTTTCGTACCATGCTAACACTTTTCACTACAGATGAATGCACGGAACAGATTGAAGCTATTCAAAGTGAAACGACAGAGGCTTGTGATGCTTTTTCGAAGTTCCCTCTAACAACTCAGATACTAGAAGGCGTTTGGTTCGGCTCTAGTTTAGACACAACGAAATTTTTTTTTCTAGGTATTTTGCTGCTGATTTGAATGCTGAACCAAAAATTTTCTTGCAATCTGCTGTTGTTAATATGTCAGCTAACCCTAATGAGTGGGACCAATCTCATGTTTCTTGAGCTTCGTTCTGTATCGTTTTTTTTCAGAACAGATGTTCTATTATTCCAATATTTTGCACAAAAAGAGGTAGACAGTGAATGTGTCGGACCAGGAGAAGGCTATGTGACCATTGCTGCGAACAACGAACTACATGTCACTGTTCAATACAGTTATACATTTGCTCCGAGCTATAAGAACATCATGAAATGTGACTTCTGCTTTCCGAAGCGTAATTATGTTTTTTTTTTGAAGTCAAATACCAAGTACTGTACATCGATAATCAAAGAGCGGTTTTGTATTGGTGCTACAAAAGAGATGTAAATGGCAACTGCACTCAGCATGATGTGAACTTTATGATTAGGTTTGACGCAATACCAAACTTCAACAACACATATTTCTCAGGTCCCGACATTTCTCACGTAATGACTTGACCATGATTTCACCATACTTAGATTGCGTAAATATAGACAAAGAATCATTGAGATGGTTTGATTTGCATTGTATGAAATTTCTTTGATGTTCATTTATGCATATGATTAAGCATTGTGTGGTACGGAGATGGCTGCAACCACGAGACTCAGAAGAGATCTCATCACATTGTCTCACGTGGATGTACTCTACATATTGACGAATGTTCAAGAACCTCAATGCCTTATATCACAGTTGAAAGGTGTAAAAGCGGATCTGACTGCGGTAATAACCTAATGGCTCCTAAGTTATCTTTGAATCAGATGGAGAAAGCCGGCACGTGGTATTTGGTATCTCGTTATGACGAAATGGCAATGGATACATATGCTATGGTTGGCAGAATCTTTGCAGTATCTTCCACCACGGCAGTCTTAAAGCTTCGTCAATCAGCGTACATTTTATTTTATTTTTACAATTGATCTTGAGTCTTCAAAAAATCCCAGTCATGGGTTTTGCAAAATTCGTGATTAGTCTTGTGCTCATGTGTAATTCTCACAGTCACGTCCAAGCATGCGGCATGATCTTGATATCTCACTAAGTTCAACACGATCGACTTAAAAATATAAGAAACAGAAGTTTCTTTATAGAGCTTTGCCCGGTGAACCTTTAGACTGCTTCACACGTGTGTTCACCATGAATGAGTTCAACAATGGAACCGATTATTGGTACGAGTTGCACTACGAATCAACTACTAAAAACTCAACAACGAGTGGGAGCAATCTGATGATTGATATGATTTTCTACTTGCAGTGATTTTCCGATTTCTTTTCTTCAATAGGCACGTGGGCGTGGTGTATTCTTGTTTAGCCAACAAAGCAGATGGACAGTAAGATATTTGTGGCCAAATGAGTGCAATATTCATTGCTTATGCAGGTGTGATGAGAAAGCTATATACGTCATTTCTCGTCATGAAAGTATTGACCACGCTGAGTTGATTGTTTTGGAAACTATAGCCAAGACCGTGTGTGTTTCTCCTAATGTTCTTTATCATACCGCAGTCCACGGTAAACAAACTCTTCAAAAGCATTTCGGAAGAATGTTACAGATGATTGTGTGTTCGACACAACGCAACTCAAACAAACTCCTTGTTCTAACGTCCAAGAGGTTGACGCAGATGCAGAATGGCTCAAATCAAACTCCACAGAAATGATGGTTTGGAAGAGTGACGTATGAGAAAAACCAATTTCGTTCCAGTCAAACTATGGTACGATAGTGTATCATGCAGTTGCATCATCTCGAAAGCTGGCTGATCCGGTAGCATTCCGTTTTGATGGAATAACCTTCCAGAAAATTAGTGATGAGTTAGTCAGATATGAGAACAAATCGTAAAAGCTTTTGTAGCCCCTCAGGGTGTTTGTCATCCCCTACTACTATCGACTTCTCTTCAAGAAATCATCTATTAGGCCGATTAGGAACTGGTGAAATAGTCTTACTTCATCCAGCTGGACTTCGTGATGAAGTTAGGCTAAAGGTTAAACTTCAAGTATATCTATCAACCGCCTCGATAAATTTTTATAGGAAGCACAGCAAGTTGGAAATATGCCATGTTTGTATCAGTTGTCTACGCAAGAAGTAACTTGTAGCTTACTGCAGAGGAAATCATGCCTGATTCCTGAGAAGCTGGAAAATATTGATGAGGTATTGAGAGAGTAAAAAATAAACTAAAGGATTGAAAAACAATTTTCAGCTGGAAGGACAGTGGTTATTGTATGCTTCTGATCCTTCATATGTTCTAAATCAAAGGTGTTCAATTCAAAACACCGCGGAAAATGATTTCGATCTGAATTGCCATAGCGAGAGGTTGAAAACATGAACATGATTAATGAATTTTGTTTTTTATCTCGATTTTCAGCTGGATCGGAGAATGCGAACGGGAAACGACGTATAGGCTCAAACTAATTGAGAATGGAAGTTTTGAGTTGGAAGCGATGGGAGATGATGCTCCCTTACGTCATCCCAGTGAACTGTTTCACAAGGGCAAATTAAGTGTAACTGCTGAACGCCTTCTGATGATTGCTGATGATGATTTCTTTGGTCGTCGCTATTCCGTTTGGCTCAAGAAGAATACTGACTTTACTCGTGATGTTGAAGCGGAAGTTGCAAAGTATTGTGTGTGGCCCGTCGGCCCTCAAATAAGAAGTATGGAGCAGGGCGGTTGTCTTGAAAAAACAATTTGAAGCATTCATGCATATGATGAGAAGATGAATAAATAAACCACATATCAGTAACATATCTAATGTAATGATTATAGTGTTCCCTTGTTGGGAAGTTTCTATTCTTATTCTGCTAATGAGAGGTTGCATTCAAATTTTCATGAGAGTTTTCAGAAACTTCATTGAGACACGTTGTTCTGTCAGAAAGTAAATCATCTGAGAGCTTTGATATAAATGCATTCTGTTCATTCAAAAAATAAAACATGGAAATCTTATTTTTTTCCAGTAGCAGATACATAGTATGTACCTGCTAATCCTTTTTTTTATTCAAAATTGCGTAGTGGTGCAAAGCATATTTTTATTTTTTTTAATTTTTGATCATTACCACATGCTCTATATCAATCTAGAGCAAATCGAGAAGAATTATTTCATTTGTTCATTACTTCACGTTGCCAAGAACGAGGTTCAAGCAGCTCAGAGAGATTCCTAACATATAGCAGGTGATTACTCCCTGATTAATGAAGAACGAGAGGGGGAGTGGGCGGAAACTTATTTCTTCAAAAATCTCATTTGTTTTCCCATTTTTTGTTTTTGTTGTTGTTTTGTTTATTCTCTCACTTCTGTAGTGATATACTTTCTCTTATAGAGGTTCATCTAACTGTTCTGTACAACAACTTTCTCATACTTATCCTGCTCACGTATTCAAATTCTTCCAGTTTCAGATTTTAATTATAAAAATTCGATTTTTTTCCCACCATATATAGCAGAAACCTATAAATGATTATTAGTTGTTTCAAAATCCCAAACGTTATTTCTCGTGATCGCCGTCTTTCGCTCTCAGTTTTTCTCTCTATCAGATCTTCAGAATCACGATGATAAGTTTCACTGATGATATTCGATATATTCTATTATCTATCGTTATACTTCTGGTGAGTATTCACTCTATGTTCTTTTCAACAAAGCTTGTAGATTGCCATATTTGGCGTTATCATGAATAGCTTATCCATTTTTGTGGTCTTGAAGAATCCTTTGCTTAAAAGTTCATTTGGTATCTTATGTTTCTCTCATTCGGTAGCCAATATTGGAGTATTATCCGTTTTCCTCGTATGGGTCGCTCCAATCACTGTGATGTAAGAAACATGCTCCTCTTATAATTTCATTATTCTATTTGAAGAGATGACGATCACCTATGGAGGACACGGTTTGCTAAGCATCTTGGACAACTGAATATATTATTTTGGGATGCTTGTGTTTATTCCCATCTAGCTATATCTGTGAATCGTTTTTTCACTATCACATTTCCTCATGTAGTCAGTTTACAAGGAAATGGTACATAATTCTTTCGTTTTAGTCCCAAACTCTGATCAACTCCAATGCCACGATAATTCTCGCTAGTTTAGTATGGACTTGTGCCATTTTTCATATCATTCCTTACTTTTGGGGTACTATTCTAATTTTTAATATATAATGACATGTTTTTAAACTTACAGTGGATCAATGCTTTATCCTGTACGATCCGAAGACGGTGACTTGGAACTTCGCGGACACAAAATGTGGATTTTACATATCAACCTACTTTGATTATTACACAGGATGTGCAGTATTCATTGTTATAGCAATCCTCGATTTGTTCACTCTAATTACTCTCCGTATAAAAAACAATGTACATTCTTTATTTCTATTATATATTGCAATTCTTGTTTTTTTTTCAGCATATGCACTCACTTGGCACTCGTGCTCATCAGAGACGACAAGTAGAACTCAGATTCTTCATTCAGGTTTTTATCGTTCTTAAATGAATTCATTCATATTAGTTTTAGGCTTGTGTACAAGCATCTCTTTTCTTTTATGAATTGGTGAATTTCTACTTCGTCTCTACACTGAACTCTTCGTTTTTCTATGTTTACTTTACTTCAACATTTGCATGGGAAATTTGTCATGCGATGGATGGGTAAGTCCTTTTCAAGTGATCTTAGCTTCATCTCTCACAATCACGATGATTAGACTTTGTTTAACATGTTATTTCAGATTGGTGTTATTTCTTTTTCAATACAAAGCGGCTTTTCCAAAAAAGGCTAGGGTGACAACTACGGTAACAGCATCAATTCAATCACATCATAAGAGCGCAGCTTCAATTGTAGTGAATACTGGTCACAGACATGATAATGCTTAATTACCTTGTTCGGAATTGCACTACGAGTAATATTGTCTCAAAATCGAATACATTCATCTCAAATTGAGTATATGTTTTGCTCCGATTCTTTAATAATTGAACTCTCCAGTTGAAACTATGGTGAACAGTGTATCTCATTTATTTGAATAAAAGTTTTATTCTCATTCTCTGTGAAGATAAATGATTTGCGTGGGAGTTTCAGTACTACGTGAAAATCCACAATTTTACGTGAACTCACGTGGCACTCATTTCATTTGTCTCACGTTTTGGCGAGTGAACGGTTGTTTCAATGAAGGCGATAAACGAATATTGAGATAAGTTTGAATTTATATTCATACTTTTGTGCATCTAGCGAACTTACATCACATAAAGAATAATAAAATCCGTGGGTGAAGGTCTTTAGCTTTACACACTGTGTAAACCATATAGGAATGTGGATGAGTCATAAAGCAAGCTTCTCATCTTGCTATATAAGGGCTAACATCAAGTATATTCTAACGTGTCTATACACTGTTCGTCTAGGTCGAATTTCATAACTTATATGTAAGTACTTGAACATTTTTGATCTTTTAATAGATTTCTTTGCGATTACGAATGTGATCAAACAACATAGCTTGTCTCTTGAAAATCATCTCTCTTCTTGATATTTCGTTGACTTTCGTCATTCACTTCCACGCAATTTGTTTCCTTTTATTGGATTACGCAAACTATGAAAGACTGTACGCGTTTGCACGAATGATGACATCATAAAGGAGACGTAGATGCTGATGACGTTGATTGTAGCATCTGAGGCAATCCTCTCTCTTTAACCGGTTTTCATTAGCAAAAAGGTGAATGCCTCAGGTGCATTCACTTGCAAAGTTGAATTTTCGACAAAATTCTTCTTCTCTAATGTACTTTTTCAGTTTTATTCGATAATTGTTGAAGTTTTAAGAATTTAAAAATGTTTTTTTCCTCTTACTATAAAAGAGTTTATTATTCTTATTAGATACTGTTCATATTCGATAGATAATAGGCCTGCTGAATAGTTAAGAGCGCACAACGTGATAAGAATGATAGTTAGAATAGAATACAGAGAGTGAGAGAAAAGGAGAACACGAAAAGATACGAAGAATGAGAGAGAGAAAGAATAAATATTTGATTTTCTAGAAGACAACGAGGTGACAGTTCAAGGATTTGCTCGCTCAATCAGTCGAACCCTTGAACCTTTTTTTTTCAACAATTTTAACATTGTTACATCTAGCTAAATTATCTTTGAAAGCTATTATGAGTTCTCTCTATGTTAGTTGTATTTTTGATCATAAACGCTGTATTCATAATCTTATCATCGCATCGCAACTCCTACCTTTCAGGTAGACCCACGCATCAATCGTTAGTTTAAAATGGAAAAACCATTTCCACCAAGTTACAACCTTACATTGAATACAAGTAAGTTTAATGATTCGAATTGTAAGTAATTGGAGCTTGTTTCAGATGAAGATCCTGAACCATCTTCTTCACAAACAATAAAAGTAGAAGAAAATTCTCAATTAGCTATAACATGTACTCGAGATGAGAATTTTAAAAGTTCAGAATTCAGTTTAAAGAAGAATAAGCAAGTTATAGGAATGACAGACACTAAAGGAAGAAAGTAAGATATTCTTAAACTATTTCAATGTTATAAACAAACTTCTTGTAGAATAACTTATCATATACACGAATATAGTACATTACATGATGGTATGTACATATGTGAGTCGCAAAGAAATGATGGAACATATCATTCTCGTCAACTTCGTTTGTCTAGCAAGGTATTACTTATTGTTTTTTCAAATTTATTTATAACTCTTCATCAGAGTAAAATGCCAAGGAACACTAAGTATTGTGAGGATGAGTCATCTGATCTATGCGGGATTAATGGAGTCTGTGCACTGCATAATGGTATACCAACATGCTAGTGAGTAGATTATATGAGTTTAATGAAATATGAATATTTTCAAGTTGTCATAAAGATTATGAAGGAGAGCATTGCGGAAGAGCTGTAGTATCTGATCTTAATAACACAAGTTGTGAGTTTAATCAAAACATTTATATTATCTACGTTGAGAACTATTTAGATTCTACAATCGATAGAGACCAACGACTTGGGCTCTCCTTAAATAATGTGTGTATGATAGGTGTAATTGTGTTACTTATTATAATTTTCGCACAATGGTAACATCAAACTATTATTCTTGTTTGCAGTTCAGTTTTCAGGTTACAAATAAAAAAATTGAAGAAAGAAAAAAAAAGCCCATCGAAGCTAATGGATGTCAAAATTGGATCCAATGATCAAGTACCCAATATCAACGGCAAAACGCTATTCTATAACACAGAGTCCGATATGAGTTCTAGAACCATTGATCCTAATGCTCCAGGACGTGATATACGACGAAATGACAGTATAAGAAGGAACGTTTTCGACAAGGTATCAATATCACTTGAACTCACATTTCAATATATGTTCCAGAAGAAGGGAAAACCATTCGAAACAACAGAACAAGAAGAATCTCTTGTAAAACTCAACGGAGTTCCTCCGAATGATTAGCATAATAACTTGAATCTCTTCATCAACATAAAACCTATATGATCTGACAAATGCTTTATGGCTATTTTAATAATAATTTAATATCATGTGATAACTTATGTGTATAGCTAAACAACTGGATGAACATCATTCTTTGCTCAATATATTTAAACTATTTTGGAATTCGTTCACATAATTAGGTGTATGAAATTGTTTTTAAAAATCAAAGTGGGAAAATTGATTGACAAATTAATTTTTTTCATGAAACTGTTCTAAAAGTTGGCCTAATGCAAATTTGCCACAAAATTAATGAGAAAAGAGTTCCGTTTATAACGAAACCGATGTATTCCTTTATCCGTCTTGTGTTTATTATCTGACCAAACAATATTAAAAAAAATGTTTATTGCCACAATTTTTGTTTATTAAGTTTTTTACAACAACATTAAAATACAATTAAAATTTTTCCAGATTTCCGCCAAGTATAAGTCGAAATCTCGGCTTGGTTTATACTGGATCCCATACTATCCCACATAAGCAAAAATATTCATATTTGTATTTGGTGAAACTATAAAAATTTTTTAGGAAAGAGTTGATCTCCGTTTAGTTACTGTAAAAGGTGAAGCAGTTTGTGTAAATACCAGATGTATGATTTCAATTTTAATGTAAAAAATAGAGAAGATAGAATATATTTAAGTTATTTTCGAATTCGTTCTCATAATTAGGTAAATGGAATTGTTTACTCACTACTGATTGTTTTTATGCAAAGACTTTCATTTTCTATCATCTCATTAGACTTTTTTTTTCTGTATAGGCGAGAAGGCATATTTACTTCATTTTCCTAATAATTTCCTCTTCGACACCCATCTTCTTCTCTACCCATTTGCCTTCTTTCTCTCTCTCTCTCTCTCTCTCTCTCTTACTGTTACTTTCTCTTGCTCTCGTTCCACTATCCTTCTCTCTCTCCCTCTATTTTCATATCCTTTACTCTCTTTCTTTCCTCTCTCCTCGAAAACTTGGTTGAATCATTTGTCAGTAGCTATGAATAGGTGATTGCCTCATTTACCGGAAACAAGCTGTCTGGCTAGACTTCACGAACAGCGCACAAGGATTGTTGACATCTCAAATTGCACGGATTGTCTTCTTATGCAATATTTTTCTTACAAGTTTAGCTTTTCTAATAAGCTAATTCTCTGTTAATTAAGATCAAGCCAGCTGGTGCTTTTGGAGTCGTAGATGTACCGGATGACATCACCATGACAGCCATCTCAACGGCCAAATATGTCATTTTGTGTTTTTATTTTTGCTTTCACAAATCTGGTATGAAATACGAATTATGTAGGATTCTTACATAGATCTTTAAGACAAACCGCTTAATTCCATAAATAACTTGTCGTCTCCACGACAAACTTCAGCTTTTGCATGTTTTGGAAGCTTTTCGTTCGCATTTGAATTTTTATAAGTTGTCTTTTTTTTCTGATAAAATTATGCTTTTGTCAATAATAGAATGTAAATGAAATTTCAGTGAATACTCTGAGTTGACAAGTAGGGGGAGGAGGAAAAGCATGAAGAATGGCGAAATTAACAATATTAGCTATTATGGATGCTTTCATGACATTTTATAACTCTAACTACATCTTTTTATTTTCTCTCTATCTCTCTGTGTCATCATTTCTCTTCCAAACTGATTTCTCTCTGATTCATTTTATTTCTTCGTCTCTCTTTCTCTCTCTTCAACCATCTTATAACTCTTAACGCATTCACAATCTGTCTTCGACAAATTCCACATCTCTTACTGAACAGTTGAGGTCTTCTGATCAGTTTTTGTGTCCAGTTGACTTCCTTTTCATTCATGCAAACTCTCTCCCACTATTTTTCTCTCTTTATAAATCTCTCGCTCTCTTCTTTTTGCATACATCGTCAAAGGATTGCCAATTCAATTAGCTCCGCCCCATCGGCTGATTGTTGCTAATGTTGAAGCTGAAGAGGAGAATCTGAACGAGCAGAAAGAGAGAGAAATATTAGAAGAGATAGAGATGAAGTATGAGAGACAAAGGGGTGAAGCAGTAAGATAGAGAGGGGCGGTATGGATAGAAAGAAAGAGTTGGAGACAGAAATAGAGAGATTTCACATATAGTAAGTAAAAGCAACAACAGCTTAGAGAAAGAAAAGAAAGGCAGTCAGACATAGAGAAAGCGACGGAGAGAGAGGGAGAAAGAGAGTCAAAGAAGGGTGAAGCCAGTGTGAGGCATTGAGAAGTAACACCTAATCCGTGCTCCAGTCGGAATGTGCTCCAAGGCAAATTGACAACTGAGAAAAGCAGTCAGAAGCATCAGGACGACGTTCTGAGTCTTAGAACAAACGTCTTCTGCCTGTCAGACTTCCATCGCTTTTCGAAGCCATAAATGCCCATTTTCTAATTTTTCCGATTCAGTAAATTTGTCGTTTTGAGAAGAAAAATTTGTTACATTTGCATCTTATAAGCGTTCTATTGAAGCTTTTGAAAAGTACCGCCATATTCGTACGTATCCGTTAAGCACCCAGAGGCTCTTCTGGATACTCCTCTTTAGCTCTTTTCATACCCATATATGCATATACATCTTTTCAATCCTCTTATATGCTTTTCCCCTTTTACTAAGCTCAAGCTTTCAATTCTCTTAGTGTATTTTTACATATTCAGTGAGTAATTATTATCATTTTCAACATATTTTATTCAGTTTCCATTTAATCCATTGGTCGTTCACCCTTCAGATGATCTTCTGATGTGACGACGGCATCAGAAATCAACAAGAACAGACTTATTTTATATTTTAGCTATATAATACGCTCATGGCAACCATCTTTATGCCGAGGTTAGTTCGAACTTCTTTTTATATTTCTTTCTATGAATAATTTATGTTTTTATAACAAATTGTCAAATGGGTCTCGTTTACAGTCGTTGGCCTGAAGTTTTGGGTTCATTTCTTAAAGCTATTTGTCTTTCAAGCCATCCCAAGCCTATCAACAGCTTCTCAGACATGTCCCATGAGATAAATGTTGTTGAGGGATAATGTATATCTGGGAGAGTTGAATAAGAGAGAGATACAAAAAATGAATTATAAATTGAGTTTTTGTAGAGATTAGTGAAATATTCTTTCATTATTCAATAAATTCGCAAAAATACTCGACACAAGAAGAATGTGATGAAGGAAAGTGTCGACCATCTGGCTAATTTGTAAATCATGACAAGTGTCTCTTAATTTTCTCTTTGAATAGTTAATGAACTCTAATATAGCTCGACATAACTTTATCTGTCTTAAAGCTATTTTTGAACTCATTTGATGAATAAATAGAAATGAAAAGAACCATTCCATACATGCTTTTCCTATCATATATTCAACACACTTCTCCAGTGGGAATACAGAATCTGCTCATGGGGGTGATGGGCTTTTCCGAATTCAGTTGTCGGCATGTCGACCATCATCTACAACTTTTGCCTTTATTTAGCCTTTTTCTCATTTTTCAACGATACACACTTATGAAATTAGCATTATCAATAAGTCCCCAAATTGTATATCATGCCACCCGAGTTATGAACAAGCCATTGGAGGGTTGGGAAAAACTGATTTGTGAAGTGCATGGGAAAACAAACGACATATGCTTGTTGTTGAGGTTTTATTATCAAACCTTGAAAAGTTTTATTAAGTTAAGATTACTCATATCTCTCCAAACATTGCACTCTATTTCCTTTTCCATCTCACCACCTTTTTCTCTCTAATACACGGTTCTAACACTCTTGCATGTTGTTCCCTTAACCATATATATAATTTATTATAACCCGAAACCTATGTTCCTCCTCTTGGGCTACTTAAGTTACATTCCCATATATTGGAGAGATGCGCTTCAAACTTGATGATGACAAGCCTCGTTCTGTTCACTTTTCACACTTATTCTAATTTTCTTTGAAACTCTTTCATAAACGTAACATCTGTCAGAGAATTGAAAAGAAATCTCTTCTCGGCGAGTATATTAACTTCACCTCTTAGCTTTTGTTGAAAACATTTTGAAAAAATTGATTTCACAGTTTTCATTTTCGCTTTCATCAACTCTCCTATCTATCTTCACAACTTTTGAATTGCTATGGAAACGATGTGAATTAACAGTTGAAGCCTAAAATATTTAGTAGAGAGCTTATGCGCATATAAGGAAATAATAATAATAAAAATAATCATATATGGTAATATGGCATTTAGGACATTTTTCCTCTCAAATAACCTCTTAAGAGACAATAACAGAAGCGTCATCTTTCATAGTTATTAGGCTCAAATGAAGTATTGTCTAATACCATATGAGAAGCAGCTTCCCTGTATGCTAAACGTTCATGATAGCAATCCAAGGAAAATAAATATTTTCATTGGGAACGCATATGGACTTTACAATGATTCCGTTTGAAATCTTATAATTATAGGAAACTCATTATTAGCTAAGGTTTTCTTTGAGAGTAAGCTTCGAGCTAGGTACAAACAAAGCAAGGCCTCGATGCTTTTAATCAATAAATCCTTCAGTTCTTTCTTTGGACGCGGTCGTCAGGTTAGAACAAGAAGGTTGAATGAACAAAAGTTGGTTAGAGAACAAGAGAATTTCTGTTTTATAGCTTGTCTGAGCACCTACAAAGAAATTGATTGTTACATATAATGCCGGAGGGCACTTACTATATTTTTTCTTCATATTTTATACTTTCAATGTTTCTATGTGTTTGCCATAATCATCGTTTCTTTTTTTTTTTTGTACTTTTGCTTCCTATTTTGGAACAATGAGCAGAAGCTTTCTTCCATTTCTTTTTGGATTTCTCAAATTTCATCCACGGAAATTGCGAGAAGATCTTTTTTCTTGCATGAAATGAATCTTATCTTTATAATTGAGAAAAAATAGTTTTTAAGAATCTATAAATTTTAATATGAAAGGTCAGTCGCATACATTACATCTAATTAGCATATTCAGAGATCGATGCACGTGTTGCACGTCAAGTATTTTCATTTCTCTCGGCATTAATGAAGCGAACGGTTGTGTGTCCTTAAAGTCAATTTGAAGACGCTTTGACGCCTAAGATCTCATGTGCACATTCAGTATCTATTTCGAGAAGCTGAATGTCTGAATATAAACTTAATTGGCAGTCTATAGCTTTGCAGCTAGTTCTAATCGTTCTAAAGCTTTTTGTCTGCCGATTCCGACAAGAAACAAAAGCAATGAAGAAGATTGAGGAACAAAAAAAAATTTGTGGAATATTCCTTAAGTCACTTGAATTTTGAAGTTCAAAACTTTTTTTTGGCATTTCATCCATTATATAGAAGTATAGTGAAATGAAAGGAAAAAACTCTTCAGCTCTCGGGATATTCGAAGATACTCTGGATTAGCTTTTGCGCAAGCAAACTCTGTTACTTACTTGGGTACCCTCTTATCCCTTTCTATTTCTTCTTCTTTCTCAGCTTTCGGGACAAACTGAAGTAATTAGGGAATGAAAAAATGAGTAATATTAATAAAATGAAAGCTTTTTCATTTAAGAAATTGGAAGTTTATAAATATTTCCATATTTGGAATTGTTAAAGCGGTTATAGCCCCATTCATTCTATATGCTAATGAGGCTTGTATCTCCGCTTATCGAGTCATGCCATTCATCGGAAATACCATTTCTTCACAAAACTTTTATTTCTTTTAAAATCTTAATTTCATCGTAGAGCTGTTTAGTGTTTGATGGAAAGCATTCCATTCAGCTCCATTCACAAAACCATGACTTTTAAAGAATTTCAAAGAAAAAATCGAATGAATAAGTTATAACCTTTCTCTTTTCTTTTAAAAGTTTGATAAAACTTCTTCAGAGAATGAATTATCTCTTCGTTTCTCTACATAATATCTCTTTCAAACCTCTTTAGACCGTTTTCTTTAGCGCTCATCCAAGATTTTACCTTCTCTCTTTCTCTCTCCCTCTTATTCACTCTCACTCTCTTTGTATGACTCTTTTGAAAGCTTTTTTTTGCTTTCTTCCCTTCCCTTATAAAATCTTTCTTTTCTTATTCCTTAAACAAAAAGAGAAATCTTTTGAAATTTCTCTTTCCTTCCTTCCTTCCTCCCTCGCTTCGAATGATTGAATGTAACTCTTCGCTCCCCGATCAGTTTTAATTCAAAAAATCTATTTTTAATCCTTGACGTAAGACAATTCTTCTCCAAAAAAGAGAATGTTTTCTTGTTCTTCTCATCAAAATATCTTTTCCCTTCAATACTTACACCTTCAGAAGTAAAGTTGACAAACTGCTTTCGGAATTTCATGAAAATTGGATACCTCCGGTGTATTTGACATGTTCTATTCCAATATTGTTTCACTTCTCTCTTTCTTCTCTTCACACTTGCCAGTGACATCCATTAGAAGCTCTCACCAATCCGGGAAATCAATGACTCCTGAACGGAAAACTAAGATTTGTCTTCTAA